GGCAAAATTTTTTTGAACCAATTTTCAAATGAGTTACCATCCATTTCTTCGTGATAGTCTCCAGTTTTTTTGGATTCAAATGCCCACAATGCTTCAGGAACAAATCCATCTACGCTACCTATGTGGCAAATGATCAGGCGTTTTCCCTTGCCTGAAAGTAATTAGTTATTTTACTTCTCAGCGAGCGCACTAAATGACGAAATTAAGCAACTCTCTTTTTAGGTTAGTGTAGGATAGGGTCTTAGATTAGTTTTTGGGTGAAGGAAATACTCAGAAACTTGGATGAGATAGCATGAGTTCGGAGCTTCCAAATCATTGATTCGATCAGAAAATGAATTATCTGCATCCAAAAAAGTTCATATACTTCGAAACTTACCTGCAGGATTTTTCAATCCCGTCGAAAGGCCATCTAAAAAAGCCTGCCTTGAGGACCTCACAGATCTGTCTACCCAAACCTTTCCCTGCGTATGCCCCGCGTTCACCCATGTTTCGTCTAAATAATAATTTTTCTTCCTTCAGCGCGGAATTGCCTAATTTTTCTAAGGTATTCTCTCCTCCAGATAACAATTTCCTCCTTTTCTATCAATAAACTATTCCTTCCTCTTTTCAAAAATCGAAAGTCTAGTTCTTTCAACAGCTTATGGAACGTAGATCTTTTAAAATTTGGCAGGTCCTCATCATCATTCATTGCTTCAATATTTTATCTATTGTAGGTATTTCATTCCTGAAGAAAAAGTGATGTACTTTTCTTCTAATGGCACTTTTGTCAAAGTCATCTATTTTTTCGATGATTTTTTTTCTCGCTGGATATGTTTTTGGCTCAGATAGTGAGTGATTTGTCTATATTCCTTCAAGATTTTGTAAACACTTGATCGACCTACTCCAGAAATTTCAGCAACCTTACATACGATATTTTTGCCAATCCACTATTCTCTTGCATCTGGTTCTTGTAGATATTTAGAATAATTTGTTTTTCACCTGCGCTAAGATGAAGCTTTTTAGCCCTTTTGCTGGGTGGCGTTAAGCTGATTTCAACCACTTCATCAGCTGTATCTGTGTCAGACATTTTAGACTAATATTAAATTTCCGCAAGAAAAATCAAGTCAAGACGTGCATAAAACGTTCGCGCTCATAAACGGGTATCCGTAACTGATTACAATCCTGTGCGTGGTGACGAACCATCAACGTGACGCTGAGAGTTCCCTCTACTATGCAGCGTTGCCAGGCTTAATGTCACAATGATCATGTTTATTGGGAAAATTGTCAGAAATCGCCGAATGTTGAACAGAAACATTACAAGAAGTCTAACCTTGAAATGTGAGGCTACAAATCGATATTCTTATAGGGGAGAAGGGTAGGGAGCTGTTATGGTTCCTATTAACCTGGTGAAAGTGAAAACGGTAATATCATATATGACATACATTCGGTTGAAGGTGTGTGCACGGAAAATAGATTGCGGATAGGATTTTAATAGATAAATCTGCACAAAAAACACAAAAGGAGATTTTTGTATTTCCCTGAAGAATATCTCAAGGTTATTTCAGATGTACTCATCGAAACTTTATGGCAGGATTATCGAAACCTTATTTTCAATTGCGATAGGGCCACATACCTCGACATTGCATTAATGTGAAAATAAGACAATAGAAAAAAAATCCCTCACTGATGCTATCTCTTAGGAAAAATTTAACTATAAAGATTGCACAAAAATTTTCTTCGCCTTTTTGAGCTTGTTTTCGCATCTCCGTATATGCCGTTCATAATTTGCTGCAGATCAAATTGGAATATACCTTTGTGATGCCATTTATTGTTATATAATGTCCTTTACAACAGTTATTGCACGTATTGCACCAACAGATTGATTTGTGATCCATGCGAATGTGATCAACCACTCTGGCGAAAACTCGCCGAGCGTGGCAACCGTGCGACTTTGTCTGGAGGCTCGTCGCTACAAGCCAATCAGGAAGAGGCCGACAGAGCGCCATGGCTACCGATCACGTGTTGATCACGAATCAACCACTGTTTACGATTACTTTGTAGCTTCGTTAGATACGCTTTAGTCCTGCAATAAATGTGGTTTCAGCAGGGACAGAGCAACGTGTCACATAGCCAGAGAAACGATGAATGTTTTATGGAGTTTCATCAAGCCCCAGGATCCGAGCCTTCTTTCTTATCTTATTTCTAAGAAACGAGAATAAAAAACCCAAATGTCCTTTTAAAAATAATATTTATTGTTGCAGATTACATTAGCCTTTCAAAGAAAAAAATATTTTTAAAATTTCTCAACGGGCCAAAATAAAACCCCTAACTTCCTGTGACCGGTTTCAGTTTTCATTGCCACACGATAACGGCTTGCGTTTGGCCACTTTCCGATTTCTGTTTACTTGTTTAGGCAGAACACTGGAGTGTTTTCTGTTCATATGCTTCTTCAGATTAGTTACAGTGGAACATTCCAGCACGGCATTGCAAAGTTTACATTTCGCTTTGTGTCTAAAGTTGCAAAGTTTTATGAAGTAGTTCCACGTAGCCGACCTCAGCCTACCTAAAAATAATGGTTATGATAATATTAATCGGTTTTATTAAATACAAAAAAAAAAACAGGTAAGTTACAAATATAAGACAGAGTTCTTCTCCATGATGGCTCTGCCAGACTGACCCGCTTGACATCGGCCTCCTATCGTAACCGTATCGAAGTTCGTAGATCTAGTACTGGCCGATACGACCACTCCTTTGTCCCTGGGGTATCTAGTCTGAGGAGGATTTCACTAGTTCTACCAACTTAGGCAGAAATCAGACTAATAGAGTGTCTTTAAGCTGTATAGCAGACTCGGTGCCCTTGTGTCTGGGCTGCTTCAGTATAAAAAAAAGTTGTTTCAATGAAGTCTTAAGCGAAAGCGTCTTCTTCTAGCATTTTCATCCTGCTTCAACATATTGAACACAGATGATCTCTGGGTGCGGCGTTTATAAGCCAGGAAAGTTGGATTTAAATTAATAGCAATACAAATAATATTAAACATTTCTATTTTATTGTTACTAATAGGGGAGATCCGAGCAAAGTGAATATCACTCATTTATTACATAAAAAAAGTCAACATAAATCATCATCAAAACATTTTTTATCTGATACCAAATTCGCGATTTCATGAGAACATTTTCTCAGGATTGGAGAATTGCGTCCCAAGGATCAATTTTTGGCGTTCCAGCCCAAACAACAACGGTATCATCATTTTCTAAAAATACTTCCTTCACTATTTGGATCTTCTTTTACATCTGATAAAAAATTCGCGATTCTTGACAAAATCTCCCGATTATCTTTACCTTATGGAATTGACATACTCGTCGAATATGCATTGAGATATTTTCCTATAGGAAGATAGGTCAGATTTGACAACTTGCTGAATGATTACTTATCATGGTGACACTGGTGAACTAACCTAGTTTGCTGTGAGTAAATTTTCTCAGGATTGCAGAATTTTGTGCCACGGTCAATTTTGACGTTTAGGCCTCAAAGAACAATGGTGGAATCCTTTTCTAAGAATACTTCCTTCACTATTTTGGACCTTCTTTTACATCTGATAACAAATTCGCGATTATTGACAAAATTTCCCGATTATCTTTTTCTTATGAGACTGCTGAATGATTACTTATCATGGTGACACTGGTGAACTAACCTAGTTTGCTATGAGTAAATTTTCTCAGGATTGCAGAATTTTGTGCCACGGTCAATTTTTGACGTTGAGGCCCAAAGAACAATAGTGGAGTCCTTTTCTAAAATACTTCCTTCACTATTTTGGATCTTCTTTTACATCTGATGAAATTCGCGATTCTTGACAAAATTTCTCAACTATCTTTTCCTTATGGAATTGACATACTCGTCGAATATGCATTGAAATATTTCCTATAGGAAGATACGTCAGATTTGACAACTTGCTGAATGATTACTTATCATGGTGACAATGGTAAACTAACCTAGCTTGCTGTGAGTAAATTTTCTCAGGATTGCTGAATTTTTGACGTTTAGGCCCAAAGAACAATAGTGGAATCGTGTTCTAAAAATAATTCCTTCACTATTTTGGATTTTCTTTTTCATCTGATTAAATTCGCGATTTTTGACAAAATTTCTCAACTATCTTTTCCTTATGGAATTGACATACTCGTCGAATATGCATTGAAATATTTTCCTATAGGAAGATACGTCAGATTTGACAATTTGCTGAATGATTACTTATCTTGGTGACAATGGTGAACTAACCTAGCTTGCTGTGAGTAAATTTTCCCAGGATTGCAGAATTTTTTGCCACGGTCAATTTTTGACGTTTAGGCCCAAAGAACAATAGTGGAACCCTTTTCTAAAAATACTTCATTCACTATTTTGGATCTTCTTTTACATCTGAAGCGAAATTCGCGATTCTTGACAAAATTTCCCAACTATCTTTTCCTTATGGAATTGACATACTCGTCGAATCTGCATTGAGATATTTTCCTATAGGAAGATACGTCAGATTTGACAATTTGCTGAATGATTACTTATCTTGGTGACAATGGTGAACTAACCTAGCTTGCTGTGAGTAAATTTTCTCAGGATTGCTGAATTTTTGACGTTTAGGCCCAAAGAACAATAGTGGAATCGTGTTCTAAAAATAATTCCTTCACTATTTTGGATTTTCTTTTCATCTGATTAAATTCGCGATTTTTGACAAAATTTCTCAACTATCTTTTCCTTATGGAATTGACATACTCGTCGAATATGCATTGAAATATTTTCCTATAGGAAGATACGTCAGATTTGACAATTTGCTGAATGATTACTTATCTTGGTGACAATGGTGAACTAACCTAGCTTGCTGTGAGTAAATTTTCCCAGGATTGCAGAATTTTTTGCCACGGTCAATTTTTGACGTTTAGGCCCAAAGAACAATAGTGGAACCCTTTTCTAAAAATACTTCATTCACTATTTTGGATCTTCTTTTACATCTGAAGCGAAATTCGCGATTCTTGACAAAATTTCCCAACTATCTTTTCCTTATGGAATTGACATACTCGTCGAATCTGCATTGAGATATTTTCCTATAGGAAGATACGTCAGATTTGACAACTTGCTGAATGATTACTTATCATGGTGACACTGGTGAACTAACCTAGTTTGCTGTGAGTAAATTTTCTCAGGATTGCAGAATTTTGTGCCACAGTCAATTTTTGACGTTTAGGCCCAAAGAACAATAGTGGAATCCTTTTCTAAAAATACTTCCTTCACTATTTTGGATCTTCTTTTACATCTGATGCGGAATTTTCCAATTATATGTTCCTTATGGGACTGACATATTGACGATGACGAACTACCCTACCTTCACATAAAAAATGTTCTCGTTATTTTAGAATTTTGTGACAGGGATCAATTTTAACGTTTAAGCCCAAACGACAACAGCACAATCATCATCATTTTCCGAAAATGCTTCCTTCAGTAACTTGTAGGATGTCTCCTGGACAAATGGCTCTTCAAGTTGCTTATAGTAGATTTGTAGCTCAACTTTTGACCGCATAGTCCGCATTTTGCACGGCAGGCACGTTTGTCCAATATTTCAAAGTACTTCCATAAAATAGATCGTCTTCGACCTAAAAATAATAATTAGCTAGTTTTTGCAGGTTAACATTGGCAGCCCGACCGTCTCGTTAACCCATACAGGGTGTTTCACAAGTCGTGACCAAAAATGAAACACGATACACAGGGCCGCATTTTATGTAACATTTTTTTTTCGCGAGGGCGCCATTAAAAAGATACGGGGTGTTGCAGTTTAAAAATAAACAATTTTTTTAATATCCTCAAAACCGTCAAAATTTGGTATGTAAAACAGTGGCGTATAATTTTTATTTGGAAAAATAATGCTACTAATCCCCTGTATCTCCGCCACTTGTGCACGTTAATGTTAAGTAAATACTTTTGAATGTGGACAATACTTAAGTTCACATACCAAATTTTACTTCATTCCAGTTGACGGAATTGTTTTTTATTTTTAAACTTCAACACCCCGTAACACAGAAGACCCCCCTTAAAATGCGGTCCTGTGTATGATATTTTATTTTTGGTCACGACATGTGGATCAACCTGTATATTGAAACAGTTTTCAAATTTGCACTAGTACAAAAAAAAAACAGATTTTAAATCACTTTTCCAGCTTTCTGATAAAACTACTTTCCATTTTCGTTGGGACACCCTGTATTTTTGCGGCGCACCATGTCAGCAAACCGCAAAAGTGCTTAGACTCGAGTTTAACTCCGTGATAAATTAGAAAAGGACATTTTTTAAGCTTACGTTCTGATCAAGGTTAGATCACATACACTGATTGACGATTCCTAATGAGAAATATCTGATTATAAATTCATTATACCAAGGAAAAAAATGTGTGTCAAGGATAACGTTTTCTTTATTACAGCATGCTTTTCTAGCAAAAAAATAAACAGATATCTCTTGTTGTATTCAAGTACGTGATTGAATTTCGCGAATATCAAGAAAGATGCATTCCCGAATATTCGTTACATCGCTAGTAGGGAGGGAAAACAAACGAATATAGCAAAACAAAAATATATATTATATACAGAAAATATTCTTCATGCTCAATCCCAAAACGGGTCGAGATCCGGGTGTTTTGCGATGAAATGCCTCTTCAAATTGGCTGAGGTAGATTTAAAGCTCAAACTTCGATAACAGAGTTTGCATTCCGCCAGGCCCGAAACACTATCCATAATTCTGAAAAAAGTCCACACCGCGGAACGTTTCCTACCTGAAAATTATATTAAGCTGTAAGAGTTTTTAGTGACATCATCACTAATACGTTATGGCGGTGGTGAACAGCATCGAGTTTGGATAATGCAGCCACGATGGGCAAAATTGGAAATTGGAAAAACGTGCCAAATTACCTCAAAACCTGAAAAAGTCCATAAAAAATCTCTTAATATACTTCGTTCTTCCAATGTCAGCTTATAATTCCTTCATCAAACATAATTGAGAAGTGAACAGTTAGAACTTTTGTACCTAAACTGTATCCATCGAAGAAACAAAGTAAAATCAAACATATACACCCGTATTGCACGTGATCAAGAACTTAACCGTAGGAGACGCTACAGGGCCGTATTAAGCTATTGTGACTGATCTATCAAAAAATGTCGTACAAGATATGTGTTGCTGTAAATTCTATCAAAAGCATAGTAAATTATCAGGAATATACCACGCCTTTCTAATCATATTTCGACATTAGGAATCAGTGCAAAAAATTCTGTATTCACCATTTCAGCAAAATGTGACTAAAACGCACACGAAAAAAACTTGTGGACCATCTCAATTGAAATTGTTCATATTTTATTATTAACTTACATATATACCCAATAATATTTACAAATCAACCTTCTATTTACAATGCAGAGCAAATTTTTTTGAGCAAATAGAAACTACAGACGTAGTAGTAGTAGTACAAAAGTTTATTGCAGACTCCATAAAGTTTGTTAGTTTGATTGCTATTAAAATTTACATGAGAAATAGGAAGAAGGTCAAAATGACACTATTATGCTTTGGAACTCCTAAATTAACCCTAATTTTGTGTAATTATAAATTTGGAATTTCCACATTAATAACTAGAAACTTACACTTTGATTGCAGTCTATAATGAACATACCTGTCTTGCCAAAAAGCCCGTTAAACTGCCAGTCTTAATGGTATCAATCGATTTATATGCTGTATTCCGAGGAGCTTGAATCATCAGAATTGTTGATGTCAATTATAAGGGGTTCAACTTGGGTGTCAATGATATTGTCCATATCCCACATTTTGGTTTCAACCTTCTCTTGGACATGGTCAATACATGTTCTCCATTTTGCTGGCGTAATTCTATCGACAGCAACATCAAACAGTTTTTTAAGGTCAGAAAACTTAAAAGTGCTGTTATTTGACGCCACGTATTGCTTGATGTCGGCCCAAATCAACTCGATAGGATTCAGTTCGCAGTGATAGGGAGGCAGCCTGAGAATCGTTTTATTTTGGTTTTTGGCCATTTCGTCAACAATTTTTAAATCATATTTATACTTATGTCGCTTGACTATATTTATCAGCTCAGCTTGTTTGGTCGAAGTCGATCTTCTTTGAGACAAACCAATGTTGAATGTCTGCCTTTTTGGTGGCCATTGTGGAATTTTTTCCAATTTTCTGGAGTGGTACGGGGCATTATCCATCACAATAATTGCGTTATCATCAAGTGTCGGCAAAAATTTTTTGAACCAATTTTCAAATGAGTTACCATCCATTTCTTCGTGATAGTCTCCAGTTTTTTTGGATTCAAATGCCCACGATGCTTCAGGAACAAATCCATCTACGCTACCTATGTGGCAAATGATCAGGCGTTTTCCCTTGCCTGAAAGTAGTTAGTTATTTTACTTCTCAGCGAGCGCACTAAATGACGAAATTAAGCAACTTACTCTTTTTAGGTTAGTGTAGGATAGGGTCTTAGATTAGTTTTTGGGTGAAGGAAATACTCAGAAACTTGGATGAGATAGCAAAACTGAGTTCGGAGCTTCCAAATCATTGATTAGACCAGAAAATAAATTATCTGCATCCAAAAAAGTTCATATACTTCGAAACTTACCTGCAGGATTTTTCAATCCCGTCGAAAGGCCATCTAAAAAAGCCTGCCTTGAGGACCTCACAGATCTGTCTACCCAAACCTTTCCCTGCGTATGCCCCGCGTTCACCCATGTTTCGTCTAAATAATAAATTTTTCTTCCTTCAGCGCGGAATTGCCTAATTTTTCTAAGGTATTCTCTCCTCCAGATAACAATTTCCTCCTTTTCTATCAATAAACTATTCCTTCCTCTTTTCAAAAATCGAAAGTCTAGTTCTTTCAACAGCTTATGGAACGTAGATCTTTTAAAATTTGGCAGGTCCTCATCATCATTCACTTGCTTCAATATTTTATCTATTGTAGGTATTTCATTCCTGAAGAAAAAGTGATGTACTTTTCTTCTAATGGCACTTTTGTCAAAGTCATCTATTTTTTCGATGATTTTTTTTCTCGCTGGATATGTTTTTGGCTCAGATGTGAGTGATTTTGTCTATATTCCTTCAAGATTTTGTAAACACTTGATCGACCTACTCCAGAAATTTCAGCAACCTTACATACGATATTTTCTATAGCCAATCCACTATTCTCTTGCATCTGGTTCTTGTAGATATTTAGAATAATTTGTTTTTCACCTGCGCTAAGATGAAGCTTTTTAGCCCTTTTTCTGGGTGACGTTAAGCTGATTTCAACCACTTCTTCAGCTGTATCTGTGTCAGACATTTTAGACTAATATTAAATTTCCGCAAGAAAAATCAAGTCAAGACGTGCATAAAACGTTCGCGCTCATAAACGGGTATCCGTAACTGATTACAATCCTGTGCGTGGTGACGAACCATCAACGTGACGCTGAGAGTTCCCTCTACTATGCAGCGTTGCCAGGCTTAATGTCACAATGATCATGTTTTATTGGGAAAATTGTCAGAAATCGCCGAATGTTGAACAGAAACATTACAAGAAGTCTAACCTTGAAATGTGAGGCTACAAATCGATATTCTTATAGGGGGGAAGGGTAGGGAGCTGTTATGGTTCCTATTAACCTTGGTGAAAGTTGGAAACGGTAATATCATATATGGCATACATTCGGTTGAAGGTGTGTGCACGGAAAATAGATTGCGGATAGGATTTTAATAGATAAATCTGCACAAAAAAACACAAAAGGAGATTTTTGTATTTCCCTGAAGAATATCTCAAGGTTATTTCAGATGTACTCATCGAAACTTTATGGAAGGATTATCGAAACCTTATTTTCAATTGCGATAGGGCCACATACCTCGACATCGCATTAATGTGAAAAATAAGACAATAGAAAAAAAATCCCTCACTGATGCTATCTCTTAGGAAAAATTTAACTATAAAGATTGCACAAAAATTTTCTTTACCTTTTTGAGCTTGTTTTCGCATCTCCGTATATGCCGTTCATAATTTGCTGCAGATCAAATTGGAATATACCTTTGTGATGCCATTTATTGTTATATAATGTCCTTTACAACAGTTATTGCACGTATTGCACCAACAGATTGATTTGTGATCCATGCGAATGTGATCAACCACTCTGGCGAAAACTCGCCGAGCGTGGCAACCATGCGACTTTGTCTGGAGGCTCGTCGCTACAAGCCAATCAGGAAGAGGCCGACAGAGCGCCATGGCTACCGATCACGCGTTGATCACGAATCAACCACTGTTTACGATTACTTTGTAGCTTCGTTAGATACATAGTAGTATTTTATAAAGTAAAGCGCAACAACGCAAGAATGCCCTAACAATTTCAAATCATTGTTTTGAACGCAACGAATCGGAAGTAGCGCGTTTTCATATGGCCATGGTAAAAAATTAATACACTTTGACTGGGCTATAATTAAGCACGCCCAATATTCCGCAGACCCCCTTAAACAGTGAGTTAATCAGAAAGCGTATATCTTTATAGATTCAATTTTATACTTATAAAAAATATAACATTTAATTCAATTTCACAGTTCATTTTTCCGGGCATATTCCTGGATGCATATTCC